CTCACTTGTCAGGTTCTTTTCCTCCTCCAACAAGAGTATAGGACAATAATTCAGATACATAGCATATATTAACACAAATTTCTGTGGTGAAAATCAACTACATTAATAGAAGATTTCAAATAAGTATGACTTCCTGCACTAAAATGGGGAGTTTTACATGACATTAACATATAACAATAGCATGGTCTGTGATAATCTTGAAATAAAATTATCTGCAATGTCTAATTCTCTAGCATACAGAACTTTTCCTCCTCCACTTCTTTTGATCCAGAATCTGGAATTTAAAGCATGGAAATTGAAAAAACAAGCTTTTAAGATATCTCGTGACACATGGCTGAAATAAAGAATGCTAGAATTTTGCTAAGTGGTAAGAACTTCATAGGTGTTTTGGTGACGACATTTTATTTACCAGTTCTCTCTGCAACTACATGTTACAGAGCTTTATGTAGTAAGATCTTACTATATTAAGATGAAATACTTGAAAATGTCTTATGATTATATAGTCTGTATTTGAGACAATGAGGGCCTGTTTTTGTTTTTGTTGCTGTTGCTGTTGTTTTTGTTTTTCCCAAATACTTAATATTATTAAAAGATTGAGAAATACTGAATAATTGTAATAACTGGATACACTAAACAGGCATGAGATAAACTTTGAGCTGTTTATTGTAAACAGCCTGAGCAGTATCACACTGTTTTTAGGGCAGGGTTAGAATCCAGCTCTCCAGGCTGACCAGACACTGATACAACCGTAATGAGGTCAGTTGAATGTGAACTATATTCCATTATACTTCACCGTTCAGTCATCTGGTATTATCTTCTGTTCAGAGACATGGAATTCTGGTATGATCTAAAGAATGCTTTATGCAATAGCAACTACAGTTGCAATTGCCAGTACAGCTGGCAATTTTTCATGTTGCCCTCGATGTCTTTAAGAAGGTAATTGGTAGTGTAGGAGTTTGGTTCTGGCACAGCCATATGGTTCTGGTATCTATGATGCTTTGATTGAAGTGACAATATTCCACCTCAGCAGTTTGCCTTCCAGGTCAATCTCTAAGATACCTGGGACGGGGCTCATCACTTACACTGAGCACGTAGAGCACCAGTGCTCTTCCTCCTCTGTACTTGTGTGCAAGAACAATGACAGTAACAGCAATATTAGAAAATAAAGTTTGCCCTTTATGGACAGGTGAAATAGTTTTATTATAGCACTGTTATTCTCTTTTTCAGGAATCCAAGCCATCTGATTTTCAGGCCTGTATTTCATTATGTCTTCTCTTAAAAGTTAAAAAAGTGCATCAGAAGACCATACCATGAAGACTCTTCCTTCTCCATACACACATACATTTATAGATAGATAGATAGATAGATAGATAGATAGATAGATAGATGGATAGATAGATACCTCAATGACACATCAGGTTTTTTTCGGAGTAGAGTTTTGAAAACTCTAGTCCTCTATCAGTGCAAGGAGATCTGCTCTATTTTTCCATTCTATGCCAGTATCTGGCTCTCTCTATTTTATTTTCTAGTAAGCAGGATCTGAGTGTGTTTCATCAGCTCACTCAAGCTACATATATTTTTCCTTCCCCATATTTCTATGTCATTGCTACATTGCACAAACTTGATTGTCCAGATTGTCAGGCTACTTCAGCATTTTTTTTCAGATGTCATTTACAGCAACATGCAAATCATATTCTTTGCTCTGGTATGTGGCAAAAGCTGGTGTGGTTCTCAGCATTCTCTGTAGCTGTAGACCATCACATGATGCTAGCATGGGCAGAAAAATAGCACAAGCATACCATGTTGGAGAGTATTGCTCTCCAGCTACTTTCTACTACTCTTTTATGTCAGAAATGATGAGAAAAGAATTAGAGTCCCAGGAGTCTGGCATCTGTGATGGATGTATATACTGTCTATTTTAGGCTTAGACTTAGACTTACAGGGCTCTCAATCACCCCTGTGGATGTCCAATGGCTCCATAGGAAACTTAATTATCTTAGGTTTGATTCACACACACTAGTGCTTAAATATCTAAATATACGAAAGCAGGTGGTGTGAATATCCACTTTGGATGTAACAGGCCAAGCCAGAAGACTTGGGATATTTATTATTTAATATTTTTATAAAATATTAATATAATATTCAATATATTATTGGGATATATACTTGGGGATATTGGGAAATATCCCCAAAATTGTCTGCTGGATTTTTTGATGTTGTGATGAAACATCAGAGTTTGACTTTGTTTTCCCAACTTAATCTTTCTCACTCAAGACATTGTCATGCCCTGTTCTTAGAGACTTTTAGGTTAACTGTGCAGATCCAGAAGCCTTTGAACTTTGAAAAAATTTTACCTCATCGATTTGTGTTCCTACAGCCTAATTGCTGGGGCCTGCAGTTAAACAGAATGCATAATAGTGCTGACTTTAATCTGTGTACAAGGATAGGCAGAAGAATTTCCTGCCACCATCCTCCATTAATTCCTGTCATTCAGTATGAAAAGAATTAGGTTCCTTACCTTTCTCATCTTACCTCTTTTAACAGGAAACAACTCCTGTCTGATGAAAACTGGTATTTCTTGCTGGCAGATTTTTTTTTCCTGCAACTGGTTCATCTTTAGTTTCACCATCTGCCTACATGTTCATGCCTTGTGCATGTCCTACTCAAAAAAATACCAGGCAGGGCTATCTGACTAGCTTCTTCCACTGGTCCATGCACACAGCCCTTAATCTTGCTGTTCCTCCAGAAGTCATGGACACCTGTGGCTCTAACCAACAGTTTCTCTTTACCTTAGAACAAATTTAAAATTTATCTCTTTACCAGTAGCATATCTAGTTAATGCTGGAGGTACTAATGTGAGTAATCTGGCCAAAGAGGATTGAAAAAATGCTTTAAGAGTATCTGAATAGTCCAGTGGCTCAGTGAAGAATTTTTATTACAGTATTTTTCTTGTCAGATATCTGCAACTTCAAGACATGGCAACTTCACTAGATTCTCAAAGATGTTCAGAAAATATTTCAGTGGTAGGTAATGTGTCTGTCTTTTTTCCGGGGGGGGGGGGGGGGGCTAAAAAAAATCCATGGTTTTCTGTTCCTATTAGAATTACAAGGATTTCTAGCCTCTTTATTTCAGAGAGAAGATAAAAAGATGCCACCTGCACCTAATGCTTACCTCTGGAGATGAGCCCCTCCACCATTTTTCTCCCTACCCATACTACACATAAAGTCTTAGTTTATTGAGAAAAATACACCAAGCAGAACCACAGTGTGGGAGGTACCATGAAAAGAGTCACCACAGCCCTCATTCTAGGAGCTTTCTGTTCCTCACATAAGCAATTTGTGTGATCCAGCATTCATCACAGTAGTCCATCCTTTGACACATGAAGTTGCTAATTAATCTTGACTTCAGTTTCAAAGAGAAGAGGGCCATAGTCTGTGCAGAAACCTTTCATCCATCTTCATTAGTCTGAATGTTTGTTTCCAATTTTATACTGGCCCTTGGCTAAGAATGCTGTTCTAAACTGATAACCTTAATGGGACATCAAAATGAGTATCTCCTGCTTGTGCATCACTTAGAAAATAACATGCCAAATTTCTCCTTTCTGAAAAATGAGTTAAAACCAAGGTCATAGTTAACCCCCCATCAGTTTCAGTGGCCACTGAATTCTCCAGTGATAAGGAGATTTTTCATGTACTATGAGCACCACTGTCCTTTAGAAAGGACTCTAAAGCCTCCCGCAGTGGGGAATAAACCTCAGTCTTGTTCTATGGTTTCATGGGACGCAGCAGTGAACAGGAATAGCATTTAATAATGTTAAGAAATCTGGCTGGCCAGGGTTTACATAGCATTCAGCAGTTATTGCTATCAAGAAATGCAATGCTTAAGGGAAATGCAGTCAGAAAAAAAAGAATCCTCTTGTTAAATTCACTCATTTTTTAGTCGTATTTGACATAAAAATGCAGAGTTGTTATTTTTTATGTTTGGTTGGAATATAGCACTCCATCTTTCTAGAAATATTTACTTTAGCATTTCTTCTTATTTTTTCCTTTCATTTTCCATTGTTTTCAGTTTTATCTTTTTTCTAGATTTTCCCAGCCAAGGTGATCAAGAGAGCACAACTTTTACTATCCTTGAACTCTAAACCTCCCTTCCCAATAAGATACTGTTAATATTTTGTGTTCTGAGTTCTCTGAGTTTGAAAGGTCTCCTCCAAATTGTCCACCAAGTATGCGAAAGGCAGCAGGTGTACATGTACATGAAAGAGAAGACATTTTGTATTCTTTGAGATTAAGACCCTCTTTATCCCACAGGTTGTTTTGTGTGAGGTATTATTTTTTTTTTCAGTTGTTAGAGAACCAAAGTCAGGATGAAAAAGAAATGTTGAATTTCAAATCCACTTTGACTTTTGTAGTTTGTTTAGTAGCTAGAATCAGCACAATCGACATCACATACCAGAGGGTTTGCATCTATTTACTGAGTTTAACAGTCATTTGCTTTAAAAATGGTTCAACCAATTCATGTTATAAATCAAACTAAAGACTAGGCTTACATCTGTGTGTAATAGCAAATTAAACAGAGCCTCTCTCATGCAGAGGCCAGCTAGTTGAGTCCAGGCACATCTATAGTATGAAATCACTTTTAGTTTCCAAAACTTCATCCAGTTTCCTGTCTGGGAATGACCCTCAGCCTCCCAAGACATGCCTGAGAACTGTTGGGAAGAATTTTGATCCAAGACAGAACCATGCCAGGGCTATGCTAACAACTTCAAAGTAAAGAAAGATGATGGAGTTTCAATGCTCACAGTTGTGTTCTGGCACTGTTAACTCTTTGGTAGAGAAGTAGCCTGTGAAATACTGTTTATTTGGTCATTATCAGGATTGCAGAAGTCCAAAATCCTTTTCTCCTGTATAAAGAATGAGAACAATGTCCTCAGGTCTGCCAAGAGAAATAACAGACCCAATGGACCAACAAATCCTCTTGATCCTTCTATTACAGAACTCAACCAGCCTGATACTACAGTGATATTCAGCCAGCAGTGGAATGGCTAGGCTTTTGGGTATCTTGCCTTCAAAGGCAAGAGCATAAGTTTCCTTTCTCATTTTCCATTCTTCTGAAGTATGAGTCTTACTTCAACCTAAGTGATACCCACATTCCAGTGCCAAAATTTTCTTCAGGTGTAATCCCAGCAAGGTCAGTCACTTATAAACTTTAATTCTGGAAAATATGTTCCCTTGACTGTCTATTCAAGTGTAAAAGTCATAAACCAGTTTAACAACAATGATAAGGATGTAACAGCAGAACAGAAATTTCTCCAGGTCTGAAAGCAGCCAATTTATCAGAAATTAAAAGAATCATTAATGGTTACATTTATATGACAGGATTTAACAGAGACACTGCTATGAGGCTTATCCTGTTTTACAGATTTGGGGATTTGTTTCATTGGAGGGGGAAAAAAAAAAAGCCAGATTGCAGGGTAAATTCCAATGTCATGGGGCCATCTAGTGCATATTGCTAGTATTACAACTTTTGTCTTCTGTACTTGGGCTTTTTTAGCTCTGCCAACACTGTCCCTGGCTTCAGCTCTATAATTATTTTCTCTGACTTGGGAAACATCTCCTTTATAAATAACGGATAAAATATATTTATTCTTTATAAAGGTTGCCACGGACAAAAAATAAAAAGAGTCTACATTTATTGTAATAAACATGCAAACTAAGAAGCTAAACATAAATGAATCAGAATTGTACAAAGTTAAAAGAAAAATGAGAATTTAAAATTTAACTACAAAACAGAAAGAGTACAAACACTTCCCAGGAAAGCTGAGGCCTTTGAAAAGAAGTGTGTGCAGAAGTTTCTGGGTAAATGAGTGAAAACACTTCACCGACGAGGAGAGCTGAGGCAATGCCTGTACTAAAATCAAGTGGCAATGTAAGAAGGTTTAATTTTCACTATGGAGACAAACATATAACGAAGTGCTCATGTGAAAACCAATTTGTTAGAGAAACAGGAATGCTCATGAGAATCCTGAACTGGAGGACAGAACTGTCAATCCCAGCACTCTGGATCAGAGGGAAACACAAATGACAGCGCACAGCTGAAAAGTCTACTTTGAGCTTTGTTTGCCATCATTAGGACAGGCAGGGTGAATGAAATTAAATTAAGAAATCATGATAAGGCAGTGAAAAGCTGTTCTCAGCATTCTTCTCTGTCCCACAGAATTCATTCAGCATGCACCTTCTTGCTTCATATGTAAGGCACCTCTACTTCTCCTGCAAAAGAAAGGCCATAGACATTGTAGATAGTAAACTTAATGTTATGAACTAAAACCTCTGCAAAGTCCTCAGCCAACAAAATGCTAACAAATAAGATGCTATAAAAGTTTGCAGCAGACAAGAAGGCACTGATTTGTAAAACACTTTATTTTAAAAATTATGTTATATAGATAAAAAGCGAGAAAAGTTTCTGATATGTCCAATACAACTTTTGAATTCTTGTATGACTTGATTTGGCCCAGATGCCTTGTTAGCCACGTGTGGCTCAATCAACTCTTTTATCGTCCAACCTCCAGTTTCTGCTAGAATAGGAATATTTGTGTTGCTCACACAAATACCAAGGTCATCTGTTTAGATCAGTTGACTCTTGTTGGTGGGAGAAGCAATTAATCTATAAAGATGAGGAAAGAGGCAAAGGAATGGAGCCTCTTAAGCAAAGATGCAGAGTAATTGAAATCCTGAACAGAATGACAGCATTTAGGTGGAGTGGAAATACCAGAGAACTCAGCTAATCTCAGAATTTAGCTTATTCAGGAGTCATTACTTAGTATGTTACTTACAGGACAGCCTTGCAGAAGGAACATTTGTTGTTATATGTTTTCCCATCAGAGCCACAAAAAGGTTGGTAGAGTTTTTCACAATAAATAGGTCTTCCTCTCTCTAACCTCTTGTATTCACTGCAGTCTACCTGCAAATAAGGTATCATTTTTTAAAAGATGGAATACATTTTTCTCACATTCTCTATTCACCTACAAAAATAATGGGTATGTATGATTTTTTTTTTTTAATCTATGATAAGGTTGTCAGCTGCTGTAGAGAAGCACGGTCAGTTGTCCTCTACAGTCTATGCTTGCTGAGCTTAATCCTCAAAAAAAAGAATGTTTCTTCTGACAGATGTGTGTGATGCTACCAATGTCAGATATTGAGCACATTTGGGGATTTTGCTGTCTGTCTAAATGAAGATGTAATCACTGGAAAAAATACAGCCTGTTTTTCATCTACAAAAAGTTGAGTCTTAATATATTTTTCTACGTGGTTGCAAATGTTAGTAAATTCCTGTGTTATTTTTTTGTTTGTTTGTTTTGGTTTTGTTTTTTAAAGCATGTTAACGGTTTCTTTCTCTTTATTCCACAAATAGCCACTTATGACATTTTTTACACTGGTGAAGAGACCTGGCCAGGCAGAATTAGGTAAAGCCCTGGGTAAGTATTAGTGTAAAAACAAATTTTTGAAAGGCTCTTAGTGAGATCATATTTTTTACTGACTTGTATGTAAAAATGAGAGTACAAACTAATAAAATACATGACTAAAAGGACTCCTGTCCTGTTTCTGGAGCTCAATCTTCTTCTGTCAAATGAATGTAATTCCTGGTATTTGACAAACAAAGAGCTCCTTGTGCAGTTCATGTATTCTATTCAATGTGCTATTTGTTGTCCTTGAAAGCCTGTATTTCATTGCCTTGGAAATCACCTCTCTCTTGTGTGCTGCTGTAACTAAAATTGGCTCAGGTCTTTTTACTGCCAGTCTAGTGAGAATTTGAAACATTAGTCTTTGCAGGGAAACTACGATTGAAACTTGTCCTTCCTAAAGATTTATCAAAAGTAAGTTGTAAGTATTTAAAACAGAACCTAGCTTTGCTGTTCTCTTGTTATGGCCTGATTGTTTATCCCCTTCATTCTACCTCCTAGTGAAAAGGAGGAGTTTACTTCAACCAAAACCTGGAATTTATTGCAGATTATGTGATTATTTTTACACTGGTGTTTGTCCATGGTCTGCATGAGAGTGATGAATGAGGAACTGTGTGTGGGCAGCTCCTCCAGCAACCTGTGCCATGGTTGCAGTGAAGACTGGCAGGTTGAGTTAGTTCCTCTGGCAAATGGGTCATTAACCAATCACTCTTTTAGGTATTACAGGCTCAAACCCAGTGTCCCATAAGAAAAGCATTTGGGATATTAGTCAACCTAGATTTTTCCTTCATTTGATCATTTACCTTTTCTCCAAAGCATTTCAAACACTGGGCTGGAAAGCAGGAGGCAGCACACCTAACCCCAGTCACAAAGGCAGGTCAGAGACCTGACACAGCCGATTCCACAACACAACCCAGCTGAGGCAATGGCATGGGTGAGAATCTCTGTAGCTGTACCTCTCAGTTTAAAATTGGTCAAACACTAACTAATAAAAAAAGCTAGAAACTGGGTGAATTTGCCTCGTATATACATGTAATGGTTTGTAAAACGGGAGAGTGGAACAGTCTCTTCCTGGAAAAGAGTGTATGGCTGTGTAGGTTCAAGCACTGAATGCTGTGTATGTTTTGCTAGTTTGGGGCCATGCTGTGTCTGTTCACGCACGGATTTCCACACACTGCTGCTCTCCGCTGGACCCCTCAAGGAATTGTCTCTGGTCACCTCAGCATGGACTTGTATTACTTAGTGGCTCATTTATTTCAGAGGATGACACCAGAATGGGTGCTCCATCAGTCAGGGATAAATTAAAATCTTTAAGTGTATGATTTAGGATCTGAAAGTCACCAAGCAAGCCTTATAATGTCATCAGATAAATATATTTTTTTAAATCTTGATTTTTCTGGCTTATAATTTTGCCTTACCCATTCTCTTGCACAGACTGCATTATACAAACAAACATCTGGAAGGTGTCAGGGCAACTATATGGAAACCACATATCTCAACCTCAGGGATTTCTTTTTTACTTTGGCTGCAATTAATTAATGCTTAGTATGTTTTCTCTGACCTCATCAATCTCTGTGCACTGTTGTTACAAACTATGTATTTTTGTCAAGAAATAAAGGAGAAAATGACTTACCGCATCCTCTTTGGCAGCATCTACAATATAAACAGAATCACAAAAGATAAAATAAAATGCACTGTTGTAAATATTCAGTTTGCAACTAGGCTGGTTTCATCAGCACCAGCCCTTCCAGCAACACCAAGTCTCTTACCATCTTGAAAGTAAATAGTGACATAGTTTTTCAGTGTCGAATAAGATACATGTGTCAGGACTTATTAAACAAGCGGGTCTTACTGCATTGTTTACCTTAGAAATCTGTGTCAGCAGCTAGAACAGCCTTTGTCGTCAAAGGGAATGGAGCCTATTGTTCCCTTTTTCATCAGTGAAAGATTAAAGACCCAGGAGTCAATATTACGTTAAATGGCCCATCTTCTTCAGTATGAATTGGTTGGGCATGAGTGAGTTTTAATTTCCAGGTCTACCAAAAAATTCATATGTGGCTGTAAGCAAGTCATGCTGTCCTTTTATACTTTAATCTGTCTATAACGAGAATAATATCTTCATTAAAATTTAATGCTAAATATATAGATTTTGATGATAATGAAATTTGGATCATAGTACCACTTTAAAAATTGTTTTCTCTTGCCAATCAATATGGAATCCAAACTGTTTGGAGAAGGATTGGCTCCTGTTTTGTATATACATGGCATCTAATATAATGGAGCCCTGATCTCAGGTGGGGCTTCAAAAAGTTCCTTCTAAACAGCTATTCAATGATAATTACACCTCCCAGAAAGTAAACAAGTAACATTGGCATGTTTCCACTATGGTGACACATTCATTACTTTCCTTAGGAATGTATTTCATTCTTCTCCTGTCCTGTAATTGTCATTCTGTGGCTTCAAAGGGATAGAAGTTATCAGACAGCAGTTTTTTGTACAGAAAGAGGAGGAAGAAAATGCAGTGTAATATAAAAGGCAATACAGCTCTAGCTCTTATTTTTCTGATTAAGTACAGCTGGTTTAAATCAGGATTCAGCTGACATTCAGCTTTGCACTAAAATTCATTTCTGTAGAACTCTTTACATCTTCTGATCAAATACAGTCACCCAAAGTAAAGAAAACTAGCATAAATTATTCACTGTGTCAAGTTTTGGTCAATGTCACCAGAAGCTTTACTGAATTTTCATGATTCTGGAATCAGATCAGATTTAACCTATGTCCACAAAAACATTAAGATTTTATTTTTTTTTCCTCCCTGGTAATCTTTTGTACCCACTATGCATTTGAGAGTTAAAGTGAAAAAGATCTGGCTCAAAAAGGATTGATCCATATAGTTTTAAAGCAGAGAAGATAAGCTAGAACATCCAAGGAACGGATTTGCTGGAATTTTGATGAAAGCAATATTTGATTGTTTATTTGTTTTGCCATTGCAATGAATAAAACTGTTTGAAAGACTACTTTTCATCAAAAGCATATTATATCATGGAAATTATAATTTTTCATAAAAATTTTGATTTTGAGATGATTTTCAAAGCAAAATTTTCTGAGCCATTCAAAATGGAAAAGGGTTACGTTTCATAACTTCAGTTTTGTTTTAGTACTTTTATTGTATTTTACTTAACATTCATGTAGCTATCGGACCACACTATACTAATAGCAGAGAAGACTTGCACTCCCCACATTCAGTTAGTCTAAATGTACTTTTTTTTTCTGAAAGTTTTTTTTTTGCTCTAAAAATTAAATAAATTACCAAGTGAATTACAAGTAAATTACTCAAGAAATTCCTCCAAGCTCCATATTTTACCATAGAGCAACTTGCGCCTCAAAGTGATCTCCATCCTGACAAATTAGCATCATAAAGGAGGTTATTCACAGCATCTTTTACGGCTAGCGCATAATCAACTATCTCCTGCTTGCTCAGTTTGGCAGGATAAGGATCTCATCAGCTCCGAGCAATGCACTCAGATCAAAGAATGAAATGAGTTGGTAAAAAAACTGCTTTGCAGTCTAGACTTTGCAGTTCACTCTTTAGTTACAGTGCAGAAGGCAGCTCTGATCCACACCACCATCAGGGAATAAATTTCATCTGCCCAAGTTGGCAACTGTAAAGCTGGTGAAATAGTGCTTACTAATGAATGCACAAGCATAAAATTTCACTTACTTTCTGCCACCCCAGCCCAGCAACCACTGCTACCTATCCTAGTACACTGAGAAGTCTGAAGTACTCAAACATTAGAACTATAATGTATTAGGAAATAAAAAAGGGCTACTCACTTGCTAAGCAAAGAACTGCCAGGGTGAGGAGCACAAAAGTGCCTGTTATCTTCATGGCAGACATAGTTTCTTGACCTGTTTCACAGCCAACCTGTGTTCCAAGGTTGGTTCCAGAACACTTAGCTTAAATGCGCATTCACGCATCTGTGTGTGCAGATACATATATATATACACACACACAGAGCAGGAACCCTGATGATGAAATCCCCCTTGTAGAAGGTAATTAGAAGAAGGTGTTGCCCATGGGTAGTGTCACCAAGAATGTCTTTTGCACAGTATGAAGGTCAGACGTACAGGGCAAAGATGAGAGTCACAGCATGGATTGTGTTGATAAAGGAGATGAATTGTTCTTTGGCTAATCCCCTTGCCTAATTAACTGTTCCATCTCCATTAGCGAGTTCAAGGTGTGACTCATTAAGGTGGTTACTTATTGCTGATATGTTATTGTCATATTGACTTTTAGAGCTGAACATAATTCCCATGCAAAAATATAATAATAATAATAATAACAATAATAATTCTACTGGGAGTATTCCAAAAGATTCATACCAGTGTAGCTGAAATGCTGAACTCCTATTCTCCTGAAAATTTTGAGACCTGTGTCACTAGCTGGGGGCAGAGGAGATGCTGGTTAACATGGCCATGCACTGAATCCTTTCAAACTGCCTTGTGGGAGCAGTTGTGACTGGAAATTGTGTCTTTTGTGTGAATACCCACACTCACCTTCACACACAGCCCAGAGGATTTCCTAGCCTTTCAGTGTTCTTCTGCCTTTAAAGTTCCACCAGTCTGGTGCTCAGAAACAATGTGATGTGAAGAAAGGAGCAAAAATACTGTATTCAATGGCCTTGCGAAGAGAAGTGATGAGTTCACAGGCATTGTGCATCCAGCTGAGTTACTGGCAAATTTGCTGTCATGGTGAAAGGGAGAAGTTCCCTCTGCCTGCCCATCTTTTTCTTTGTTGATAGTTCCAGTGCAATAAGTGTCATACGCAGGATTCTTTAAACAAATCCAACATACCAGTGTGATACTGACAACAGGCATAACTCTGTTGCTTTTATAATACAAGCAAAGGGTAGTGGCACAATGGAAAACTCAGATCTGAGTCTTTTCTTAAAGTTCAAAGAAAAAATCATGTTTTGAGACCATATTTCTGTTTGAACCCATCTGTCCAGAACTGCCTTCTGCTTAGTGATTTGGAGTGTAGCTGTGCAAATTGTCACAGTTATGAAAGATCCCTGTGCACTGCTACAATTCACAATATTTCAGTGATCACCTTTCCTACATTGCAAGACAGCTTGGGGCTTTTATGCCACGCAGGAGTTGGGGTCATATATGCTAAATTCAGTAAAACAGAGGGACTGAATATCCTTTCAAAAAAGGTTGTAGTATGTCAGATAGACCTTGGGCCCTGCTAACTCATGCTTCTGTGTGGAGAGCAAGAGGGATACTGACCATCTTGTCAGTAAATGAAGAATGCAGATAATGAATAAATGGTTAATTTCTCATCACTTCTGGAGTGAAAAAAAAAAAAAAAAAAAAAAAAAAAGATGCCACTGAATTGAAGTTCCACATTAAGATAGGGGAAGAACAGAATAGTTGAAGATCTGGTCTGGGATGGAGGCCTGCATATTTTATTTATTTATTTTTTGCTTTGGCAATATGTATGTGTTCCTATAAGGTGCAGTTAACAAAAGACAAGCTATGGTTTAAATTGGTTGGTCTGGATTCGGCTGCTGTGGGCTGTCAGTGGAATTTTGGTTCTGGAAAGCCCAAGAGCCTGTCTTAGAATGTAAATGAATGAATTCATGGAGAATATTCATGAAATGTTGTTGGCTGATGTTGATGATTTCTACTCTAGGCAGCAAGAACAAATCCCCAAACAATCAAGAAGATACTCCTAATCTGAATAGATTTAGCAAACAATACTTCAGAGGACTACTTGAAACTATAAAACTGCAGCTTGATGGAACATGCAGCTTCCTTGACGCTGGTATGAGGAAACCTCCCACTTTGGTTGCACTGTCTTGCCTAATTTGCTGCTACAGAGTGTACTGTCTGATGCAACCTCAGTATCCATCTCATCGTTCTAGCAAAAGAATATAAGCATCTGTTTACAGCCTTCTGTAGGGAGGTTTTCTGAGGCCTAGTGAAGAAAGGAAGACAGCACATTTGGAAGTGGGAGTAATGAGTGAGATATTTGGAGGTGGGCTAATGAGTGAGACAGATTTTGGCTGAGATTTTTCTTGGCACTTAAAAGTTATCGTAATATCAAAAGGATTCCTGATACTTATTCTGTGCCCCATAGCAGCAAATCCATGGTGTGAATGTTTCCTTTCAAGTAGTGTTTAGGTGTTTTGATTAGGGCTTCCAAATCAATTTATCATTCATTTTCTGAGCAACAGACTTTAAGCTGCATAGGGTCTGCCCAGACCATTTAGATAGGATGGATATCTGATGCGAAGCTGTGATATATTGTAGGGTGCATAAGAGGCAGAACACTAGATACAGCAGAGATCCAACAAAACTGGAGACTTTTGCATTTTGAAACATCAAATCTATCCTGAAGCTTTAGGAAGAAAAATGCCATACACAGAAAGTAATATTCAGTTTCACTTTCTACAATGAGGTAATACTTAGATGCAAAATCTAAAAATAAAATTCTGTAAAATTAATGCCACAAAGCCTTTATCACAACTCCTATTTAAAAGGATACCAAAATGCCTCAATATCCATCTGCCTAACTTCAAGAATGGGAAGAATTCATATTGGCAAAGTGCAAAAATATTCACCAGTTGACTGAAAATGTGCTTCATCTGAGGCACTTTTCTGTCCAAACTTGCAGAGACTTGTTTGCTCTGGTAGTCTTCAAACGGAGCTGGTCTGACAGCCTGACACCTGTCATCCTCAGGTAGGCCAAAGGTTCCTCCAAGTCAAAATGCTGCCTTCAAGAACATTCAGAAGCAGATTGAGCGGAGAATACAGAGCAGTTCTTCTCTTGGTGGACAAGCTGGACCTGAGCCAGTGGTTTACCTCATTGTGAAGAAGTATGACCCCACATACTAGGCTGTATTGTTAAGAATACAGTTATCAAGTCAAAAGAAATAATTATTTCACTCTGCTCAGCACTTACAAGGCTGTGTGTGGACTGCTGTGTATGGTTCTGGGTCCCCTGCACATGAAAGACTCTGAAATACTGGAACAAGTCTAGTGAAGGACCACCAAGAAGATGTTTAGAGGGATGAAGCACATACTAGAGAGATTGAGAGAATTAGTTTGCTCACTTTGAAGACAGGACGCAAAGTCTTATTGTTGTCTTCAGCTATTTTATAGGGGGGTACAGAGAAGACAGAGCCAGACTCTTCTTAGAGGTACACAGTGAAAGAAGGAGAAGGAATACAGCAGATTGCAACAAGAGAAATTCCAATTAGAAGTGAGGAAAACAATTTTCACAATGAGAGTAGCCAAATGTTGGAATAGGTTGGCCAAAGAGATTGTGTGAACTCCGTCCTTGGAGATATTCAAAAACTCTTCTAAATTGGTCATGGTTTGGTGGTGGGGCATGGATGTGTGGAACCAGCTGACCTCCAGTGGTCCATGCCAACCTACACCGAATCTGTGATTTGTGAAGGCGAAAGTGAACTGTTGGTGGTAGTCACCTGCTTAGGGATTTTGTGGCATATTGTATTTGTCCTTATGAGGCAACATTTCTAGATTTCACAATGCAGATATGGACATCAGAGTAATAGTAAATTGTACTGATTTTAGCTACATAGAAGTATGACTGGTTGCAAAAAAAATGTTCAGACCTATTTAGTAATATCTGCTTCCCAGAGTTCAATGAGTAGGCCTTTTTACCACAGCTAAAACTAGTTCTGAAATTGATGGTAAATACTCTGCTCAGATTGAAAACTTCTAAGTAAAATGTTGGCCTCATCAGCAAACTCGTGTTAGTTTCCATCAGACAGCGGGTGCTGTTTTGACTACATGTATATTACTGGGGGACTGATAATTTTCTACTTTTATCACTGTATCTTGTCTTTTCCCAACTTCTTACCTCTCCAAGTTGTTGTTTTGAAGAATAAAAAGTCTTTACATAGTGAGCAAATGTTTATTAGCTTTAATGGGCCTGTTACATCTGGTAAAGATACGATATGCAGTGCATGTTTTTCTGAGTGTGAGAATATGTGTCACAATTACTGATATATTGGTTTTATTTTTGTAGCTCAGAGCAGAGCCACAATGTGATGCCAAATATGCTGCTGCAGCAAGTCATTAGTCAAGTGCCTGTTTTATTCTGCATGGGAGGATGTTATCTGGCTGCATTCCAGAAAGTATTGATGTATAGTAGCTTGTTCCCATTCATAAGGCAGAGCACCTTACATTGAGGACATCAACGGCGCTGAAAAAAAGGCACATGGAATAGCTGAAAACATACTCATTGCAGCCACGTATCCCTGTGAAGAATGTACAAGGCAAGGTTGATACTGATATCATCAAGAGTGGGAATTCTGACGTATTAGTGATTCCAGTGCATGTTTATACATAATCCATTTCACAAACTGTTTCATTTTTATTTATTTATTTTATATATTTTTTTGTGCGTAGGTGGTTAGGGTTGTCCACCCATGTGCAATTAATTAAGAATTTAAAGTCTTGCTCAATGGAAGGCATGAGAATCAAGTGATGTATTTCTTAAGTCATCAAACTGTGCCAAAACATTTGGGTATTTGCCTGAAGGCAAGTGAGTTTCCTATTTTCCACACCTTAAAAATAATCAAAGGACTTTTTCTGTACAATTGAAGGAATCAAGCTGGGACAGATCCCAGCTGAACATTTCACGTGTTATTTTAGAAAGTCAAAAAAAAAAAAAAAAAAAAGAAAGAAACAAACAACAACAACAACAATCTGCAAAGGGTAGAGTTGATTTTTTTTTGTTTTTCTTTGTATCTTCTGATAACTTTAAGATAAATTGCGATGTTGTGATACCCACTGTTGTGCAGCTACCTTGTCAATCTTTCTGTCTTGGTGTCACACCATTGCTCAATGACTTGATTCTTCCTTCACAGACATATGCAAGATAGGCATTAACAGCTTAACATGAAGTATTGAATGAACTGGAAAGTGAGTATAGAATAGGTCTTATTTTAAATTGCCTTCTGTTTTATATTTCAAGATGTAATTTTCAGGTGGTTTGCACTTTGAAATTCTGTCACACAGAAGTCAGTCAAACTGAAATATTCGAGGAAGTTTCTTCTAACATTGCTGAATGTCTCAGGGCAAAGGTAGAGGACATACATTGATTTTGCC